TGGACATCAAGGTGCAGTAAATGGGGATCATACAATTTGTGATACCTGTGTGTGCAGGGAGCTAGGTTGTAGGCTGTATGGACCAAAACACATGAATACTTATTGCAATGACTAACTTGAACAAATCACCCGTTTGTCTTGGTGGATTTGTTTTCAATAATATGATGAATTTAAGGTATATTAAATTAAGTTGCTTGCTTGAACTTCTCTTGCATATCAAGTTTCCTCTTTTCTGTATTGGCATGAGAAAAAGGATAAACACCAGTTGGTTGTCTTTGATTACACTCTACATCAATTCCCTGCAGTTTATGCTTTGTAAAGAAGTGTGACTGTATTTGATGGCACTAAAAGGCTTGAAGTGTACCCAATACATAATTTTGACATAAGAAATGTAAAATCAATATAAGGAAGAACTAAAGATGTCAGCAGAGTTCTCAATAAAAATTTTACATGCTAAAAAAAAAAAGATGTCTGCAGCAATATCACATCCTGTTTTTCTGTTTATCCTTAGTTTAAAGTGGACCTTTACCCCCTTTCACTAAAAATCACATCAGCATGCAGCTCTGTGTGCTTTATTTAAAATCATCTTACATTCATTAGATAAACAAACTTGTTTGTCATTTACTTACAAATAGAGTTTATCTACTTCCTGGTTCACTTCTGGAACAAATTATGTAATGTGCCTTAGTGATGCATCCTGGGAAGGTTACACCAGCAGAGCATTGCTGGGAAATCTCATCTGTAATCTCATGAGATCTCAGGGAAAGGAATCCCCCTCCCCCGAGATGATGTGCATAGTCACATGTCCCAGTTACATGCACCAGAGTTCCAGGAAGTAAATGGAGATATATTAATCTGCCCTTAGTTAACATGGCCACTGTCAGAAGACTGGGGAAGAAAGAGAAATAAGGTATGTGCAAAGAATACAAAGCCGAAAATTATCTAGAAGTATGTGTTTGTAGATTGTCATTACTAAACATTTCTAAAGGTGTGTTTGTTATTATTTTAAATATATGGGTAAGGTTCCTCTTTAATCCATGCCTACACTGGCCTCAGAAGGTATTTTAGCTAAATACCTCTCTGAAAAGCCTTTGATGGATGTTGCTAGTTTCTGATATAAGGGATGCATGTGAATTCTGTAGTGGTCACAGTAATGCCAAGCAGGTGACCAACTGCCTTAGATTTAAGCTGGCCATGCACTTATAGGTCTCTTTCATTCCGCCTACCCCAGCCACATCATCCATTTACAGATCCATTGACGGAGAGACTACAGGCCACACCTGCCACCATGGCAGAGGGACTTGTAGTTGTTCATGGATTGTCCGTTCATCCTGTCCTTTTAACTAAAAGTCCATATCCATGTAGGAACAGGGGCTGGCAGGAGTCTACAGGAGCTTGAGCATTGCACCTGAAATCCACTGATTGTGGTTGCAATGCTTTGCAGGCTGTAAAAACAAAAAATATTAATTGTTTTTGTTTTGCAAAAGCTGTACTATGCCTTTTTAAATAATTACAGAATTGTAAAGGTTTGGTGAAATTAAGCGCAATAATAAAAATGTAAATCATTAAATAACTTGCTTGTATGTATATCGGAATAAAAAGAGGCGTTCTACAAACAGAAAAATAATAGCAAAGTTGTAATCAAAGCAAGTGACAGGGCGCCTTTTAAAAAGGTATAATGTGAACTCGCATGTTTGCTGTTAAACAAGGGCAATATAATCAGTGTTGTTTAAACATTGTTCATATTTCAGTTTGGAATTTTCCAACAAGACTGGCTTGAGATTAGAAACTGATCTAAATGTTGGCATGTCTCAGCCTATATTTTTCAGTTCTCGCTACTTCTGCAAATGGTCCTGTGCTGTCACAAAGCTCTAAAGTGGAATTGGATACCATGGATGAATTCTAGCCTACCTGGCATGCTCTATATAAAAAGGGAAACACTTGGCCCCATCTGCAGGAGCTAGAGAATCTCGTCTTTGTTTCAGTAAACCTGTAGGTCACTCCTTTTTATAAGTACAAGATGCTGCACTGGATGGGGATCAGCCGAACAAACCACTTGCTGTAAGCAAGTTAACCTTTTTATCTTTCAAGGACAACATTGTTGCAGATAAGATTGTCTTGGGACTGGTAACTTGCAGGCAGTTAGTACTCCTGGAACAGTAGGATAAATAGCAAAGCCTTCAGTCAGCCTGAACACCACAGTGAATGTCTGCCAATGCCAAAATGCAGATTTTTTTCCCCCGTAGCCATGCATTCTTTAGACTTACCGATTTTTTTTTTTTTTTGATTTTTTTTTTTTAGCCTGAATTTCATTTGCATAGTAAATTTGAACTCTGGACTAGTGTCTTTTACATACAAAGTTAATATATTTTACCCTATCCTAGTGACACTCTATAACCTTTTTAACATGCTTGTTTTTTTTTTTATCAACGTTCAGCACAGTTTTACATGATATACAGTTCACCATGAAGGTGTAGTAATGGTGCTTGGGTTGCAGCCCTTGGATTCCAACAAATACAAGATGCCCTTTGTACTAAAGTGTTTACCATTCATATAAAAGGTCCTTTTAAGTGGAGACATTATGAGGTTTGCTAGTTATTTCTCCAATGACCCTGTTGACCAGCTTCTTTGATGAAACTAGAGAACTTGGATCCATTATGTTTTTTTACCCTCTGAATTTCTTAGAGAAAAGAAACAGGTTGAAGTAAAAAAACTCCCTACGTGTTTTATATTTGAATGAATCCTTGTCTCCCTTTTAGTGACGATAGATGATCCAGATTATAGTTCTTTCAGAATGCTGCCTTCTAATATTTTGAGCATTCTTATTCAGTTAGGTTCATTAACTAACTCCCAGTTAACATCATACGTTTGTTCAGAATGCGAATGGTAAAGTTGTCTGTAGACCACTTAAAATGTCTTCTTGTCAGCCCAATTTGGAGCAGATTTTACTGTACAGTAATATCCGAACCCACACCCGCTCACACCTTTTCTCTTCCACAATCAGTAACTGAAAAGGAACCCCATCCCACCCCAGATATATATCTATATAGAATGTAAATTTCTGTAGTATGGGTGTGTTGGTACTCTGGCTGAGAAATGGTTAAAGGTGTTTTAGGTGGGCGTTTTTAGTCTGTGAAATAGAAGTATTGAGTACACTGCAGCTATTGAATCTGCCTTTGTTTGGCTATTTCCACCTGCTACAATCTCATTCTGAATGCCTCTTACTGCTTTGTGAATGCAGCTCTCTGGGGAGGTCATATACACTCTTAGATTGACTATTTCAATAGTACCGTACTCAAACTGATCACTTTACACTGGCAAAAAGTAATATTCTATTTGTTTTAAAGCTTGATCAATGCTTATCCTGGAGTAAAATGCTGGTGTCTGTGGAGGAATGCTCATCCTGGAATAAAATGCTGGTGTCTGTGGAGGAATGCTCATCCTGGAATAAAATGCTGGTGTCTGTGGAGGAAGAAATGATTTCTTTGTGTCTCTGGCTGCCATGTATAGTTTCTATTTATTGGCAGACTGAATTGATATAACAGCCTAAAGCATAATTCTGTATATAATACTTCACTTGCACCCTCCCCAACTGATGCAGAAAACAACTCATTTTTGTAGGGTTTGGTCTAATAGAGAGGAAAACAAACCGTTTAAAGTACAACTAACGGCTTCTCTGTGATAGTCTGAGCAAGTATCAAATTAATTTACTATGTGATGCACAAGCCTCACAAAGTAAACAAAAATCTTCCTTTTAGCTTTCCCAACTGACCCAAATCTTCCATTTGTGTCTCACATGCTCCCCCTCCCAAACACTGCAGCTCACAGAGGCAGTGTTGCCAATACAGACAGCTGCGCTGCCTCTGGCATGGTCAGACAAGGTCTGGTGTGGTTGACAAGCAGTGAAAATGCTGATCGTCGCACCCCCTGCAAATGTATTTAAGCCCACTGTAGGCAAACATGCACAGCCTACATCAGAGTGGCAATTCTGTTCTGAATTCAGAAGTGCAGCATAGTTTCACTAATATTAGGTGGACTTCACTGGCATACTCAAAAGGTATTTGTGGAATTTTGCTGGAGGACTATGAGAAAACTGTTTGTGCAGATGGACTTATTAAGTGCTGCAGCACTTTTTTTTTGGGGGTGGGGGGGTGGGGCATAGTTCTACTTAAATTAGGGGTCTACAGTCTTCCTCCCTGCTGGTTTAGGTTGTGCTCACTAGTCCTCTATGCTCTTCTGTCTGACCAGTTTTGTTGCTGCCATCATCATGTACAATGCAGGACTGATGAAAGATTGAATAATTTCCAAATTACATGGTTGTTTGTGTGTTGGAAAGTCTGACCAGCAGGGCTACAAATTTCTTTAAAACATTTGGCAAGGACAATTATTTAATAATATATTGTAGGTGGCACTAAACTATTTATTGCCTTGGGCTAAAAAAACAGAGCATATTGATGAGAGAGTCAGGGTCCCCTGACCAGTCTGCACATAACCAAGGTGCAGGTTAGTGAATTGGGTGCCATGGTCCATTGTTAGTTGCCAATATTAGTAATATGATGTAACATTAATCAAGATATAAAAACGCACAATGTTATCATTTAAAAAGAAAATCAATAATCCCGACTAGGAAAGGGAGGGTCAGCATTCTGTGCCAATCAGGGCTTTGTTGGAGAGCATACTTACTGGAGGGAAAAGCAAAGATATGGGCATATTTATGGTCTCGGCATTTCCTAAGGTGGATTTTTGACCATGTTGCATTATGTAACTTTAGAGTAGACTGCTATGTGGTCCAAGACCTGGCTGTTCTGTTCTGCAAGTAAAACTGTTTTACATAATTGTATTTCATCAATGTATTTACCTGTATGCCTGGAGTTCAGCTTTGAACTTGCTTTTGTTTGCAAGTCAAATTAATTTTTTTTTTCTCTTGCTAGTTCTGTGGAGGAATACAAATCTACAAATGGAGTAAGGAAGTAATTTGGCTAACTCCGATTTTGTACTGTGATCCTATAGGGATTTTAGAAATAATTCAAAATGAGGCTCTTACGGAGACACTATGGACCTCTTAAATTGGCTATGGTGGGTATTGTCTTTGTAATATTTGTCTTCATTATGCAAAAAGATGTTGGCAATGGCACCAAAGATGATCCCTGGTTAAAGAACATTGTGGAGCGAAAAGATCAGGTGCTGGATATGATGATGGGGGCGGTGAATAATTTAAGGGACTCCATGCCAAAACTTCAGATCAATGCCCCGGTTCAGCAAGAGGAACCAGAACAGAAAGCAAAGTCTTGCTTGCCTGGATATTACACTCCAGGAGAGCTCAAATCTTTCATGGAAAGACCACCAGAAGATCCAAACAGCCCTGGTGCTGACGGAAAAGCATTTAAAAAGGACACGTGGACACCAGAGGAGACAAAACAGAAGGATGACGGATATACCAAGCATTGCTTCAATGCCTTTGCCAGTGAGAAGATCTCTCTCCACAGGTCTTTGGGACCTGACACAAGACCTCCAGAGTAAGTTTTTTTTATATTCTTTACCAACTCATTTATAATATTGAAACTGGGTTTATACAAAGGCCTTTTCAATGAACATACACCACAAACATTACAAAATCTTCATAAGGATTCCACAGTATTGTAGGTTTGTGTACAAAGCCTTGCTGATCTGACTTTTGCACAGAGATAAGTGTATACTGTACTATTACTTGCACTCAATACAGATATAAGGAATTAGTGCAGTATACATTCCATTTTTATACAGGCATTCATAGGATTGTATTTCATTATATTTTTTTCCTGTTCTAATTACCAATAGGCTGAGGCTAGGCTTGCACCTAGGTGACTGAGCTGGTGAGCAGTTTTCGTGCGCTTGTCAAGTATTTTTTCATTTGTGCAACTGTTCATTGAAAACCATGCGGTTTTCAATGCATAGAGATGTCTATGGGACCCAAACCGCGTGACAACTGGCCAAAAATAGCTCCTGTACCTTTTTTGCACGACAAGCCGCAAACGTGTGAACAGCCTTCATTGACTTCAATGCAAATCTGTGTTTTGCGTGATATCGCCTAGGTGTTTTAGTAGTAGAAAGCAAGTTTCAAAACAAGAAATCCCATGATTTTCAATGACCCCTGTTCACACTCGAGCAGCAAAATGCTGAACGTAGAAAAAAGTACATGACAGGTTACAGCTCTATTTTCCCCATAGACGTCAATGGAAACGCCAGTAAACGTGCAGCAGAATTATTTTGCATATTGTTGCGCGTTTTGTAGGCATGTTTGTCCATTGACTGCAAGGTTTCTCAAGCTCCCAGTAAACGTGCGCAAAAAATGTGCAAAACGTGGATCCTATTTGCTCGCGTTTGTGTGCCACATTTTCATATACGTAGCAAAAAAGCTCATGTAGTATTTTCCAGGGCACACATTCTGCATTTTTTGGCTTCCATTTTTGTGTGTTTTTTTTTTTTTTTGTACGCGCGCAAACGCGGAGAAAAAAATCTCGCTTTTGCAGTTTTTTTGAGATTTGTCACCATTTTTCCACTAGGCATTTTAAATTGTATAAATAGGAGAACAAATATATGCAAAATAGGGAGAAGTGTAAAAAAAAATGCAAAACAAGCAATTGGTTTTTCAAAAAAACCCTGAAAGTTGATCATTCAGTTATGGTTGGAGAAGCAAAGCTGAACTTCAAGCAAACAACTATATACAGACATTCCTCGGTTACCGACTTACCTGCTTTGCGACCACTCGCACTTACGACAGTGCGACGTGTCGCCAGCGGAAGTGATGTCCTCCGATCTTCACTGCGGGTCCCGGTAAGTATTTTCATTGCCCAATGTACAGTACACTGTTCGGTACTGTACATCTGCAACACTATACAGTACTGTACTAATGCAGTACAGTACTGTATAGAATTCCTCACTTAACGACCAATTCGTTTAACGACCTGGTCGTTGGAACAGAACTCGGTCGTTAAGTGAGGAATACCTGTAAACAGATAAAATGCGTATAAGGGAGTTGTTTTACCTGCCAATAGATTTGTATTTGTTCATTCAGCTCTTAGATTTGCACAGCCAGGTAGATGACAGCACTTACATTTTAAAAATACAACGGTGTCCCTTTCCACTCCCAGCCTTCTGTCTGGACAGTGAAAGAGCAGAAGTGGACTGATAAGGTCATCTCGCTCTTCACACTTCTTAACTCCTATCGGCTTTTTCCTTGTAGGTACATCTGAATATAGTAGACATGACTGGCTCCTTTCCCAGTCTGCTGCTACAAAGGGGATTGCTAGAGGCCGGTGCCAAATGTAGGTTCCTAACTACTTTCCGTCCGCCTGTTGTAAATAAACGAATGGCAAGCTGCTTCCAGCGGGGAGCTGTAAATGTACAGCTTTTTTTTTTTTCTGCTCGTGCATGCCCCATAGCGTACGCACAAGCAGGACACACTGACACTTGTAAACAGCCGGTAACGGTTGTTCAATACAAGCGTTCAAGCGGCTCTATAACTAATTGCTTGTATGTGCCCAGCAGTGTGCGCCCCCCACCCTCCTTCAGCGCGGGTTCCCCCCCCACCATAGTTACCGGCTATCCTGGGCTCCGCTGTCCCCTCTGTGGGCCCGGGACTGGCTTGACAGCTCTCTGCACTAAGATCGGAAGGATATAAGCATTCTCCCACCTGCTGATCTCCTTTCCGATCTCTGAATGCGGAAGTGGTGTGTATTACATCACTTCCACATTTATCTGTCATTTCTCTGGCTGCTATAGCCAGAGAAGAAGCTGATGAAGCAGATCTGTGCTTCATCAGCTTCTTTGGGGTTCCTAGGTAAAATTAGGGGTGTTGAAGACCCCTGATGTCTCCATAAAAAGGACCTGTCAGTGTGCCTGTGCTATCACATAAGGGAATTGTTGGCTCCCTGTGTGATATAAAAAAACATTGTCACATATAAAAAAAAATCCCCAAAAAATGATTTAGTCCCCCGCGTATACGCACATATAAATTTAATCCCACATCTGTTGCATCAACGTGCGAAAATGACAATTGCGCTGCATATGTTGCATATCACTGCGTATGTGAGAGTGCGAGCAATAATTCTCGGGCCATCAATCACTGAAACCCTAAACTGATGAGTGGTAAAAGCTGTTAAATTGGGCAATTCTGGGTATTGTAGCTCTTTGCAATTTTTTAAAGCCTGACATTTTATGTTGTACCAAAAAACTGAGACCGCTGCAGCTGGGATGGATCCTGATAATGCTGTCAAGATCCACCCAGCTGACTCTGCCTATCTAGACTTTATGCATTCGCTCACGTCCCGATCTATTGAGCCGACGTGTGACAGTTTCATTGTCATACGTCGGCTGCAACTATGAGGCTGATTGATTTTCGCTCACCTCCATAGTTCTCCTTTTTAATATAGGGGAATCAGGGTTGTGTGGGGGTTTTTTGGCAATTTTTCCTTTTTTATATAGTAAAAAATAAAACCCCAATGGTGATTAAATACCACAAAAAGAAAGCTCTATCTGTCCCCAAAAAATGGTATAAAATTAATTTCAGTACAGCGTTGTATGACTGAATGAATAAAAGTCGGAGTACCTCCGTGCTGAATACTGAAAATGGCTTGGACAGGAAGGGGGTGTAACACCCCAGTCTTCAAGTGGTTAAAATAGTAGAGTTTAAAATAAAAATATAAAGCTTTTCACTCAGCTTACACTTTTTAACACTCTGGACTTAGTAACACTCTGAACTTAGTAACACTCGGGACTTGGTAACGCTCTGGACCCAGGACTTGGTAACGCTCTGGACTCTGGACCCACCTGAGGCCCCACACATACCTGAGACCCCACACAGCCCATCTGAGAGTGACCCTGCACAGCACATCTGAGACTCTCTATGGTGGGATCTGCAGGGTCTCGGGTGGGCTGGTCACCAGGGTCCCTTTCCCTGCACATACTCCTTACCTGCCGCTGCTGGGGCCCGGCCTCTCCCGCCACCAGACCGGTGCTGCTCAGCCCCAGCCTCTCCTGCTGTCAGAACGGTGCTGCTGGGGCTTGGCCTCGTCTACCTTTTGTCTCCTTCCCTGTCACCTCTGCTATGCTTACCCTGGTAGGGGCCTGGGCCCCCGACATGGGTATCGGCTGTACCCCGCTGATGGCGGCCCTGCTAAGATCTCACTACCAGAGAAATGCAAGAAAACATTTCTATAACTGAAATATCAGAGTAGCAGAACTACTGTACTGAAATATCAATGATATTTAACAAGATTGCACAACTTCAGTAGCCACATTCAATGCAATTTACAAACCTCTGAAGCCACTGCTAATAGGAGTACTCATATTCAGAAATAAGTTATTTCCTTCCTGAATAACAACATGGCTCGACTGTCTTTGAGGAGGTAAAGTTGTTAAATTACAGCTTAAAGCAAATGTCACCGTTTTACTGTTTGCACAGTACTGACAATGTGCGAAGACTGCTTTAAACACTTTACTAAAACTGGCAGTGAGACAGGATTTACAGTTTAGTAAAGTATAGTATTAAACAGTTAAAATGTATTTGCCTCAAAAAAAATAAATACAGAGCAGATGCAGTACATCTCTGCAAACATGCACGTTTGTCCATGTTATATTGCTTTTAAAAATGCTGCAATTATTGTCTGTTGATCCTGCCAGAAAGGCACAATGCACTTGAATTCCTGAGAACTGACAACTCCGTGCCTTGGCTGGCAACACTGTTTTTTGTTTTCTTTATATATATCGCTTGCCGTCCACACATTGAATATAAACGGATTGGCGCTTGCTTTGAATGCGGGTCACTGTAAGTAAATACTGATTTAAAAAAAAAATAATAATAATTCTTCCCCTGCTTGCACATGCCCCTAGTGTGTACACGAGCAGGACACTTGTATGATGTGTGGGAGTATGTGTCCCCTCCTCCTTTTCGGCTCTCCCAGGCTCCACTGCCCCCCCCCCCTCAGGCAGGCCTGGGACCAACGCTCAGGTCTGTTCACTGATCAGAGGGAGATCAGCACACTTCCAGTGGCTGATCTCCCCTCCAATGGCCTGGACAGAAAGGGGGTTTAACACCCCGTTCTTGAGGTGGTTAAAGAGATAACACATGGCGACACGGGCATGCATTGTAGAGATGTAGTGAATGTTTTGTTTATTTTTTACCAAGACGTGCATTTTAAGGTAGCAGGGAAAAATGGAAGTCCATCCCTGACTAGAGGTAATGTGGTAGAAGTCTAGTCTCCAGTATTTTAACTGTAGACTCCCTGCAGCTGATCTTTTCCCAATACTGACTTCCAATACCTTGTTCTGCATTGTATCCCTTTGTGAAGATGGACATCTTGGAAGAAGAGCAGGGCTTTGCATCTTCATGTCAAAGTTGCCCCAGTGACTGTTGCAAACTGGTGGAATAAGAACCAGTAAGCAGTGGGAGAGGTGTGGAAAGTTGATATCCACAAAATGGATGAAGCAGAGGCAGGGAGATAGCACCTCAGGTGCAGCTTTCTCACCAGCGAGCATTTAGGAAAACAATGAGCAGCACAGTAGTGACATCCCCAACTCTCACCTTCCATGATGGGAATAGAAGTCACTGGCAGCAGTGCAGCTATCAGTTATAAGGATAAACATGAGTTCCTAGGCATTATCACATGTCGGGATGTGCACTGTTCATTTTCAGGAGGAATTCAAGACAAAGGTTTTTGGGGTTTTTCTTCAGGGTATTGCTTTGGTACAATTAACATCTCTTGACTAGACTTCAGGCTCATTTTAAAAACATTTTCACCCAGAGGCAAGTGTTGAAGACTACAAGGTCCACATGCAGCCGTGGGGGCATCTCCCAAGCACATATGGTTTATATCGCAAACTGTACTACCTGTAAATATTATTCTGTGGCAATCGGGTACAGGAAACCCTCAAAGCATTATATACAGTAATTATACAGAACCTCTGCCCTTACAGCTCACTTTTTTCCAGCATTTCTTTTCCTGTGCTTGGCATATTAAACAGGAGTACATGGAGCATGGCGTGACATCGAAGTCTGCTGCAAGCACAACCACACTAAAATCACAGCCCGGCTTTCATTTGGATCTTATAACTGCACGACTACATGCTACACTGGGTCATCAGAGCACAGCTAACAATTGCCGTATCTGTGGGAGCTTTTGTCCAGTAGCTTAAAGATTTGGGAAAGCTCATATTCCACAGCGGGTGTCTGTCCCTGCCTTGGCAGGTGTGTCTGTCACAATGGAGGAGAAAGTAAGTTCCCCGCCGCTGCAAGAATGCTTTTCAATAGAGCAAATGAGAGAATAAAGCGCCTAAACCAATTTAATTTGACGTGGGGAAGCCACCCCATTTTTCGCAACTTCCTTTTTTTTTTTAAAAACTGGAAGAAAAATCCCCAAACTGTAACAGCTGTCTCTATAGCTGGTCTGCAGGCAGAATGAAAGGAGCACCATTGTTCTTCTTGAAGGCAGCAGGAGAACCTGAGCTTTCATGTGGAACATTTCCCTTGTTTGTTTGAAGTTGGATTGGGGTATGTGGCCTGTAAAAGAACCATTAACCCTGGGATTGAAAAGCTCAAGATAAGCTCCATGCACCGCCATAGACCTTTCTGAATGAGTCCTGGCAAATGTAATGGTAAATTCCTACTTCACAACAAGATGACAAAGCAATTAAAATGACTGATTAATAGAAACTGCACAAACTGTCTTGGAATCTTTAATCAATTATTTTTACAGATGTGCTATAGCCAATAAAAGCAAGTTTGTAGCTGTCCTGTCAATAATTTAAAGACAAACTATTGTTAATACACTCTTAATACTGATGATTAAAGCAAACCTTTGGGGGAGAGGGGATGGTTATTAGTAGGAATGCACTGATACCGTTTTTTCGGTATCGAGTACTGATGTATTTTTTTTTTTTCCGGTACACGCTGATTCTGGAAGTCCCATTAAGGAAGCTGGGCGGCATGTAATGACTCGCTTCCCGATTAGCCGGGAAGACGTTTCCCTGCTCCCTTGTCACTGGGTGATGAGGAAGCATGGGGCCGGCTTTCTGGCCAATTAGAAAGCCGGGGGGGCAGGTAATCATTCGCTGCCACAGCTTCCTTATAGGCCAGCTTAACGACCAATCAGGAAGACGGGCGGTGAGTCATTACCCGCCTCCCATCTTACTGATTGGCCGGGAAGGCAGCTCCCTGATGATGAGGGAGCATGCAGCCGGCTTCCAGGCCAATCAGGAAGCCAGGTGTGTAATGACTCGCTGCCTGGCTTCCTGATACTGGAAGTTCCGGTATCGGAATAGGCATCGGGAGCATTTGGGCATGTATGAGCCAGGAGTAATTAATAATCACCAGTATGGGTTCTTCTTATTGGAATATCCCCCTACCAACTCTCTGTTCTCAGTGGGTGCCCTGCAGGTGTAGCTTGTGATTTATTCCCCTTGTTGCCTTCTAGCTGCCTTCTGCTGTTTTGGATACTGCCAAAACTTTGGGATTTACCTAATATAATATGATCATATCAGTCTACTCAATGCCTTTTTCATTTGTGTCTTTTTCCAGGTGTATTGAGCAGAAATTCAAGCGATGCCCTTCACTTCCAACAACCAGTGTGATTATTGTATTCCATAATGAGGCCTGGTCAACTCTCCTCCGGACAGTGCACAGTGTTCTACATACATCACCCGCAATCCTGCTAAAAGAAGTAATTCTTGTAGATGATGCTAGTATAGATGGTAAGTCAAGACAACATCATTATTGAGAACTACTGTTTACTGGAAAGACTGTCATGATGACTGTCAAATAAATCTTGTTTTGCCTTCAGGTAACATAAACTAGTTCTAGTAAAGAACACTGTTAGCCCCAAAACGTATCTCCATACCTGTAGTCACATAGGAAGCCTGCAAACGTGCAAGGAACTTATAGGAAATTTTAGCACATACACTACTGCATTTTACAAATGTGTGCTCTCATTTGATGCAGGTTGACTTACAACAGATCTAAGAATGAAAATGTTCAGACCTTGAATCTCTTTTTAAATTGCACTTCCTATTCTATCTTCATCTTCATATGTACAGGGTACATGTGGCAAGGAAATTAATATCCGAGCTAAACCATACAAATGTTTAAATAGCCTTCCTTGATCAGCAATATCCTGCGGTATAATTATTTGCATTGGTAAATACGGCTTGTAAATCAGTACGTGTTCTATTCAGGATGCTGGTGCCATCTGTTAAATTTGCAGGATTGCTTTATCCCTATTCAATGACATTGTAAAGAGAAAAAAGATGCACCTTGCTCAGCACCATCCCCCCACCCCACCGTTCCTTACTTCTTGCCCTATGAACGAACTGCAGGGATACAAGGGAAAATGTAATGAAAGGAAGAAGACTAGAAATGACAACTAATTAGGATTAACCCTGCAATTTAATATACGTTTTGTTATTTCTAGATTCTCATTTACTCCTTTTATGAACTTGCCAATACAATTTTTTTTAAATAACACCTTTCTTATTTCATTACATTCTTTTACTCCCAGTGATCTCATTGCTGAGTCTCTGTGCTTCTCTATGCAATGCAGGCAGATTATGGCTGATGGGAGGTGCCAGCAGGGTGCTGTACATGGCTTCCTGAAAACATCACAGCACGCTGTTTCAGTACTCCTCTTAAGAGTTCTCAGCCCTGATGCAAGCAGTGGGCTGGCTGTTGAACGGAGCTCTGAAAATATCTAAATGCCTTTATGGGTGGATGTCATGGGTGGATGTCAGTCTGGAGGAGTGCAAATGCAAACATTTTCCATCACACTTAACCGCTAGCCTACAAAAACAATTGACACTGTCTAACATTTTGCAATAAAAACAGGTTTTAGTTGCACGACTTTTGCAAAATATGTGGAAGCCACACAGCCAACGTCTTGTATAGTGTGGTCCTAACTCTAATCTATGAGAGCCTCCATCTTGAAGCATATACACTATATTGCCAAAAGTATTGGGACACCCATCCAAATCATTGGATTCAGGTGTTCCGTGAAATTTCCTTGCTACTAAATATTCCACGGTCAACTGTTAGTGGTATTATAACAAAGTGAAACCAACTGGAAACAACAGCAACTCAGCCACGAAGTTGTAGGCCACGTAAAATGACAGAGTGGGGTCAGCGCATGCTGAAGTGCGCAGAAGTCGCCGACTGTCTGCAGAGTCAATAGCTACAGACCTCCAAACTTCATGTGGCCTTGAGATTGACACAACCACATTGCATAGATAGCTTCATGGAATGGGTTTCCATGGCTGAGCAGCTGCATCCAAGTCTTACATCACCAAGTGCAATGTAAAGCGTCGGATGCAGTGGTGTAAAGCACGCCACCACTGGACTCTAGAGAAGTGGAGATGTGTTCTCTGGAGTGACGGATCACGCTTCTCTGCCTGGCAATCCGATGGACGTGTCCGAGTTTGACGGTTGCCAGGAGAACGGTACTTGCCTGACTGCATTGTGCCAAGTGTAAAGTTTGGTGGAGGGGGGATTATGGTGTGGAGTTTTTTTTCAGGAGTTGGGCTTGGCCCCTTAGTTCCAGTGAAGGGAACTCTTTAGGCATCAGCATTCCAAGACCAAGGTTTTTTTTGGCTTCTCGTTCTTTGTAATGTTAAGAGGGGCTGTGAGGGGTTTGTGCTGACCTCATATCTTGAAGCATATACACTATATTGCCAAAAGTATTGGGACACCCATCCAAATCATTGGATTCAGGTGTTCCGTGAAATTTCCTTGCTACTAAATATTCCACGGTCAACTGTTAGTGGTATTATAACAAAGTGAAACCAACTGGAAACAACAGCAACTCAGCCACGAAGTTGTAGGCCACGTAAAATGACAGAGTGGGGTCAGCGCATGCTGAAGTGCGCAGAAGTCGCCGACTGTCTGCAGAGTCAATAGCTACAGACCTCCAAACTTCATGTGGCCTTGAGATTGACACAACCACATTGCATAGATAGCTTCATGGAATGGGTTTCCATGGCTGAGCAGCTGCATCCAAGTCTTACATCACCAAGTGCAATGTAAAGCGTCGGATGCAGTGGTGTAAAGCACGCCACCACTGGACTCTAGAGAAGTGGAGATGTGTTCTCTGGAGTGACGGATCACGCTTCTCTGCCTGGCAATCCGATGGACGTGTCCGAGTTTGACGGTTGCCAGGAGAACGGTACTTGCCTGACTGCATTGTGCCAAGTGTAAAGTTTGGTGGAGGGGGGATTATGGTGTGGAGTTTTTTTTCAGGAGTTGGGCTTGGCCCCTTAGTTCCAGTGAAGGGAACTCTTTAGGCATCAGCATTCCAAGACCAAGGTTTTTTTTGGCTTCTCGTTCTTTGTAATGTTAAGAGGGGCTGTGAGGGGTTTGTGCTGACCTCATCTGTACTGTGTTGGCTGATTTAATTAAAGTAGATTTGAACACTCCCAGTCCAAACAAGGGGTTAAAGGATTACAACCCTGGCTTCTGCATTGTATGTTAATGATAGAAACGTATGCCTGTCCTCTAGTCTTTCTATAAGGACACATCACTGTGAAGGTGCTCAGTGATGCTGCAACATCAGCCTGCTTCAGGTGCTACAGCCTGCTGCAACAAAACACCTGAAAGGTTAAAAAAAAATAATGTTAGATATGCTTTTTGAATGGAAACACATAGCAAACATATAGAGGGGTTTTCTCAAAATTGACTGCAAAAAGGGGAAATTAGGGGTGCGCCGATACCCGTTGTCTGGTATTTGAGTTTTCCGGTATTAAGAGTACCGATATTTTTTTTGGTACTCGCCAATACCGATATTGGGCGTCTCATTAAAACTTTATTTGCTTCATGTTCAATTGGTGTGCTGGTGAAATTTTTTGGACTCCATTAAGGAAGCTATCACATTAAGGAAGCTGGGCGGCATGTAATGACTCACCGCCTGGCTTCCCGTTTAGCTGGGAAGCTGTCTCCTGATTGGTCAGAAAGCCGGCGCCATCCAGGCAGCATGGCGTCTGCTTTCTGGCTAATCAGGAAGCCAGGGGGGCGAGTCATTACCCCCATCCCAGCTTCTTGATTGGCCGGGAGTCCATCTCCATATTACCTGGTAACGAGGGAGCATGAAGCTGGGTTCCTGGCCACTCAGGAAGCCGGGCAGCATGTAATGACCTGCCGTCCGGCTTCCTGATACTGGAAGTTCCTGTATCAGGAAAGGCATCGGGAGCATTTTGGGCGAGTTTGAGTACTCCCCCAAATACTTGGTATCGGTACCGATACTAGTATGGGTCCATCCCTTGTGGAAATGCACTTTAACCCTTTCTCACTTTATCCAAAATTTACAAAGTTGTGGCTTGAATTTACCATCAATAAGTTATACAATGTTTCTGGGTTGAAGGGGGAATTTTGGATATATGGAACTCCAAGGGCAAACTTGATGGACAACATGGTATTTTTGTGCCATCATCCTTTTCATATAGCTATGTTTCTGCACACCCAGACAAACATCTAGGCATAGTTCTTGCTCTAGCAGTAACCAAGCATTAATACTTTTGCTTCACCACAATCATGAGAGATTCAGATAAGTAGTAAAATGATTCAGATTGTAGTAAAATGAGCAACTCCAACAGGACTGCCAGGGCTTTTCTGACAAGACTAGGTTATCAAGTAGCCAATGTTCCTGAGATGATTAAAGGTATTTGGTTTCTTGAATTAGATTGTGACAAAAGTCAATTTTCTAATTTTGTTTCACAAAGAAGGAAAAGAACAAAGACGTTTGTGTGCCTTTTTTTTAATGGAGTTAAGCTTGGGCAGCACAGTGGTGTAATGGTTAGCTCTTCTGCCTTGTAGCACTGGAGGTCCTTGAATCCTGGCCAGGTCACTATCTACAATGAGTTTGTATGTTCTCCCTGTGCTTGCATGGGTTTCCTCCAGGTACTCCGGTTTCCTCCCACACTTCAAAGACATGCTAGTAGGTTAATTGGCTCCTGTCTCAATTGGCCCTTGTATGTGTTGTGAGATTTAGCTTTCAATGGTAGCACATTAATGACGGAGTCCACTCGCTTACCACGTCTTTTAAAGGGCCTCTTTGCCCACTTTTATTAGAACCAACATAAAAGTCCACACCGGTGTTTCCCTCGCAGGGGTCTTCAAACACAGTACAGCAAATAATGTTTGTCCAAGTCTCACCGACTCCAGGTTGTCACACATACTCCACTTGTAAACGGCTCTCTCAGCCTCCTCGGCTGTCTTCCCGTGCCTCTAGCACACACAGCCACCTGGCTCCCCTCTGCCTTCTGGGTGGAGGACTCCTGAACATCCCTGTTCCTCTTCCCAGCTGGAGCCCAGAACACTAGCCCACACACTTCCCATAAATGCAGTGCACAGGTGTGCAATCAGGTGCTGGCCACTACTAAACAATGGACCCAGGAATGGAGATTTCATCCCTCCCAATTCTCTTAGAAATCTCCCAGTTCCAGGATCCCATGCCAAATCCAGAAATCCTGGGAAGAGCCACAAAGTCAGCTCTTTCCCAGTACAAAAACTTGCCTCCTGGAACCGGTCAGCCCCTTTTGGATGAGACTCCTGGGTGACTACAACCCCCGGTTCTACCGTGGGATTGCCACACTATACCACAGTGTGTAATGTATGTATGCATGTGAGATAGGGACCTTAGATTGTAAGCTCCTTGAGGGCAGGGGCTGGTGTGAATGTGCACTGTCTAAAGCACTGTGTAAATTGTCGGCGCTATATAAATGCCAATAATAATCAAATTAAAAAAATGTGCACTTCTTATTAATACACGTTTCAGTTTAACAAAATGTTGTATATGTTTAAATCTGCAGATTACCTGAAGGAGGAGTTGGACAACTACGTGAAGTCTCTGCAGATCGTAAAAGTTGTACGACAGCAAGAGAGAAAGGGTTTAATCACCGCCAGGTTGCTGGGTGCCAGTGTTGCTACAGGCGAGGTGCTGACCTTCCTGGATGCCCATTGTAAGTTAAATTGAATCTGCCACACTTCATTTCCTCAGATCATGAAAAGGGAGTTCAATGTAATCCTCTCTCCTGTTAATGTACTGCAGTTTAGTCCAGGACAGGGCTTTCTGTGCACCATCAATTTTTGTCCATTTGCGCAGAATAATTGTCTTCTGTGGCTGTCTGCAAAATAAATCCCAGCTCACTGCTGCACTGTGAATGAAGACTTTGTACCAAAAGCTTTCTAAGGAAATCTCTTCAGACATGAATGGGTTCAATTTAATAGTTGCAGTTATTTGGAATAGCCTTTATTCCTTTGTAATCCTTATGGTATAGGTAAGGAACATAGCAATTGCAGCTTAAAGTACATGCTGTTACAGACATGTAGGTTTCCTAAGCTGGTGATAAACTGCTCGATTATTGGCCAAATCCTGCTGACTTGGTTGAAATTCGAGCTGTGTGTGGCCCTGCTGGCACAACCCGGCTCGGCAAAGGGCAATTATGTACATAAGTTAGTCAGGTTGAAAAAAGAAACAAGTCCATCGAGTTCAACCTAATAGAGGTAAGAGAGGAAAAAGAAAAACTGAAGGCTATGCCCACAGTTACCCACCGTTGACCCAGAAGAAGGCAAAAAAAACCTATAAAGCATGATTTCAATTTGCTCCAACAAGGGGAAAAAGTTTCCTTCCTGATCCCATAAGGCAGTTGGAGTGCATGGGTCGGCTTTTACCGCTACTGTTGTCAGTATCTACATATCATAACCTGAGGGCTCCAGGGGGCTGACGGAGACATGAGAATATATGTACAGCTACCTATTAATGGCTCCCTGCACTTTAGTCCAGAGGCCAGTTGAGGAAGAGAAAAGCATCCAACAAGAGTACGTAGCTTTCCTTTCACCGCAGAGTAGAACTTGTTTTATAAGGACACGTCAGCTTTTGTCGCGTCATGGGAAAATTTCAACAGTGTAGAAAGTAGAGCAGTTTGTCATCTCAGGAAGCAGAGTATTGGATTGTTCATATTTCAGGAATGTGGAACTCACCTGTTATCTGTGTGTTGTATTTCCTTATAGCTCCCTCCATTGTTAATCATCACTGTGAGCTGTGTCACTTTAATCCTGCTTTTAACTGTTAGTTGTGCTGTTGAAAGTGATCTTCAATTGCATCTAATCCTCATTATATCTGCACGTGATTGTATAATTGATGTGAATATGCACACAATTTGTTCTTTAAATATTCTCCACTCCTTTAAGCTGGCCATTCACTATACAAATTCCGTCCAGTTCTTGATGAACCAGCCGAAATTCGCACAGTGGGTGCCAATGTTGTCACGCTTTCGGCAGTCATCCCTCGATCAGCTGATTGAAGGAGCCGGTCTGAAAATCTAAGAATGCACAGAGCCCATCAGCTTCTGGCTCTTTTTGGGTATTCTAACAATGCATAGCAAACAGCGGTAGAATCCACCATCAATGCTTGTAAAGCTGGCCATACACCTTACAACCATCGTGCGATGGTTTTAAGGTAATTTAAAAGCTTGTACGATCTGCCCATCTTGGACAGGCAGATCGTAATTGCAATCATCGCAAGCCCGCCCCGCTGAGGGGAGGGCTTCCGATGACTGCAACGCTGAGCAGGCGCACACTGGCCCGCGCGGCATTTGTCTTACGAGCACACCACAAACCCGCCGAAAATTGTACGATTTTCGGCTGGTTTTCCAACGTGCTAGTTGGCCACCTCAAGGGCCTGTTCACATGAGTTTCAGGTCCAGATCTGCAGATGCGGTGCTACTGATGCAGTGCGTTTTGGCCGCGCTTTTGATGCGTTCCAGTAAAAAAAAAACAGATTTTTTGCTGGAGTGGGGCTGTTAGTATGTTAGCTGCAGTGCAGTGCGTTTTTGACGCGTTTGCATTTCCTGACCGTTTCCTGACCGTACAAAATGTGACATGCAGTATTTTTCTGGCGTAAGCTGAACGGACTGCGCACGTGAGAACTGGAGCCCATAAAACACATAGGGATACATTGGGATGCATTTTGAGTGCAGGAGCGTACGGATCAGGTCAGCACACAAAACGGACGTCGTGTGAACAGGCACAAAGTGTTGATGGAGGAATCTGTAATATTGTCTTTGTTCAGCCTGCAGGTTGAACGAAGAAAATATTTTTGTGTATGGTCAGCTATAGTAAAGCGCCTAAATTTACTTTTAATGACTATATATGTAACATGCTGAAAAGAGGAGGAGCTTTGGGCTTATTTAATACATTGGTGTTTTGTGCAGCGACTGTGCAAAGGGTAAGAACCCTTCGCAATAGTAATAAGCACACTGATTTGCAAATTGGAGACATCCCCAAATTGAGAATTTGTATTTTATTTCTCTCGAGTATATGCATACAGACTGCATATTGGCAAACAAACCGAATAATGGTCCTTTCTTGAGTCAGATTAGCATATAAATTGACAAGCAAAACAACTGGGATTGGTTTGCAGGAAAAAGCAGTACTCATTCTATACAATTTTTCCCATTGAGTTGTTCATGAACCCTCACAGGAATCCTATAATAATCTCTGTCAAGCCTGGGTTTCTCTGCAGTCAGTAGTCTAAGGCTCTTACCTGGAGTAAGCATGCAGATAAGGAAATTCAAAGTGAAATTAAAACTGCTCTAGGTCAGTAACTGAGAAAGTACTGAAGCCACTGGATCAGCATAAAAGCCAAAAAAACTAATATTTTAGGAAAGGTGAACAGTTACACTTAGTCAAGAAAAGTTTCCTTTTAATATGCCAGTTATTTTTATAGATTGCCAACAAATGCTGCGTGGAAACCCTGTCACCTACCATCTACACTTCACCATTATTCTTAAAATCTGTCCCCTCGGCATTAAATTGGCACGTGTTCCTGTAGAGATGCATCATTCTTTCCTCACAGGAAATGGCCATATTGACTCTAGGAATGGTTTTTAGTTCTAACACACTATTTTTTATTTTTTTTATAAGTAACTGTGTCAATGGGATTTTATTTTACTTCAAACAGGTTTTACATACCCATACAAGTCTATGGGAATGCAAAACCAGCTTTGAGCAAGTCAAATGTAGGTCCGAAGGAGGTCAACAGCAGGTCAGATGCATCTGTCAATGAATTCTGATCTCAGAAGCATCTTAAACTGTTACCATCAACACAAGCCCAAAGTCTGTCAACACAGGCCCTTTATGATGCCATTTTTAGTCTGTCATGGCTAGAACTGCCTTTTGTATTTGTGGTTATATATGTGACATGTTCTGTGTTGTAATTACACAGGTGAATGTTTCCATGGTTGGCTGGAGCCTCTCTTATCTAGAATTGCTGAAGATTATACAGCTGTTGTGAGCCCAGATATCACAACTATTGACCTGAACAGTTTTGAGTTTTCCAAACCAGTGCAATATGGCAAGCACCACAGCCGTGGTAATTTTGACTGGAGTTTAACATTTGGTTGGGAGGCTATACCAGCCCATGAGAAGGAAAGGAGAAAGGATGAAACCTACCCCATTAAGTAAGTGGTTTTTGAAGTGTTGTCTATATAACAGTATTTTTAGACATGCTGCTGTATTGGTATTATAAGCATTGCCTCTGTGAGCAAGCTTCAAAAGTACATTGGCACGACAGGCAGTTTTAAGAGAAAACTACTGATACATGGTACATTTGTTCCATGAGTCTTGTTGCGAATCGAATTGGTAGCGAACTGAATCAAACTGTGATCAGACCGCCATCTTGGCTAGAGGAAGCCACAACCAGTGTCGGAGCAGGTGAGATGGCTGCAGTTGTGTTCGTCACCCAATGCGGAGTTCGCAAAATCTTAAAAAGCATTCAAGTACCCAAACCCCTTAAGGACGGAGGCAGTTGTCCAAGTTCTGAACATATAGCTCAAATTCTATGTTTTGTCTATGTCTGTTCAACCATAATTTACCTCTTTCACATTAAGTGTACCCACACTTATTATGTATAGTTCTTTGGAGTACAAATAGGGCTTTTGTTTGACCTCAAATATTGATAATTGGTTACATTTTATTCATATACAATTCATTTATGAGAAATTAAGACATTTTTATTACACACACACACACACACTGCAATATAACATCCCCCTGAAAATGCTAATTACCCATAATTGGTATGGGTGTGCTGTAAAGTAGCCACCGTAAAGCTGTAAAGTAGCCAAGCTCGCTCCTGTGATGGCCTACAATCTCAATACAAATTGTTAAACTATGCATGGGATTGTATGAGCTCCCGAATGCCATTCAGGTCTGTGAGCAGAGGTGTCATATGAATAGTATTATGAGCCTAACCCTAACAATAAATGTATAACAATATTTTTTTTAAAAAGACATACAATTTGAAACAAATTTGTTTTCTTTCTTGTCCTGACCATGAAAAATGCAGAAAAAGAAAATCTACAGAAAGCCAATACACATTCCCATTTAAAGCATACTATCTTACTGCATAGGTATTAATATAGCTAGTACCTAAGGTTTGTTTTTATATGACCATTAATAAGACGATCCTTTTCTAGTATTCCACCTCTGGTGTGATACATGTTGGTGCCACATTTGCTATAAATACTCCTTGAGAGATTAATTGCAGGTTTCATTCAGGTCTTATCTGTAGAATCCAGCCGGCAGCATGCAGGCACTCCTTAACTTCTCCCTCGGTGTGACTAATAGTGGCATTTATGAAAGGATCATTGCCGATCTGCACAAGTCAGGGAACTGTTATATTTCTGGTATCTAAACAGTGCTTACTTGCATCTATCCATTTGTTTTTAAGGAAAATGATCATATTTTCTGTGGTTGCCTTTTATGTTAAAGTGGTTGTATAGGCAAAGTTTACATCAATATCCTGGAGGTTAAATTATGGGTAGATCAGTCACTGGACACAAAACCATCTCCCAACAATCACATAAAAAGGGCAGAAAAAAAGGTATTGTAGTCTACTAAGAGAAGCAAGCACATCATTAAGTACATCTAGGTTCAGAGATTTGTGAACCTGTATTTTGCCTATGCAGGGCACCCCCTCCCCCAGTTTCTGTACTCTCCTGTTGCTCTGGTTGGCATGGTCTGATGGGAGTAAAGGTAAATACCTGGTAACTCCATTTATAAGGTGCTGGTGTCTCACTGCCCTTTTATCCCTTTCTTGCCTAAGTGACCAATGTGTAGGTATTAGCAAGGTGGTGAGGGGGGAGTTGGAGGTTAGAAGAGGAGTTACCAGCCCTGTATGAGCTTTAGCACTGCTCACACAGGTTCTTCTGTCCTCTGGAGGCCAAGGTCTCCTCTGCATTGGCTGTGCGTGCTCCATGAGAACCCATACACTTGATAGGAGCCATACCCAAAGTGTCTCCAGTTTCAGAATGCAGACCCATTCCAGTCTGTGGGAGCTCGCTGTCGTGTTCAGTCAGATAGATGTAAAAAGTGAAAGAGCTTGTCACAATGAAATAAACAGCCAGGTTTCTATGTTAGTTTAGGGGGCTGGAGAGGGTGAACTAGCTTATATTTGACTAAACGTACACTTTTACACATATGATCAAGTAATCTGGGAGTGCAAGCTTAATCCAGACAAATTGTGCCCGTACATCTGATGAGCCTCGGTCTATACCCAGCTTTAATAGAGGTGATGTGGCACTGGAGATTATATGCTCAATTGACATTACAGACTGAAGGAGCATAGGGTGTGTCTGGCCTGCACGGCTGAGATCACTGCCAACACAGTGTTATCTTGGCTAATTAACACTGCAGTTTGTTCATTGCCTACACACCCCTGCCAGACGTCACTAAACTCTTCCACTTTGGACTTCAGTCCTTTTTGAGTAGGAACACATATGTTACAGTGAAATCTTCCATTACAAACAAAGTTTATAATGCAACTAGTAAAAATTAATCTACAAGAGAAGCAATGTGAAATATCTGTATTGCTAATTAAATTTAAATCTGTTTTTGTATTGTACGCCATACAATGCTTATTTCTGGCCAGTCACCTTTCCAGCCCAGATTGTTTGTTTGTTTCTTCCAGAGTTGTATGACGTTTGTTACAACACATCCTGGAAACTCACAACTGTTAAAAAAAATCTCTTGTGTCACAAAATCACGTATTATGCTCCTGTTAATATTGCCTGTACTATGTGCAGGGTTTTTTTTTTAGCAGTTTTATAGAGGTGCATAGCAAATGCTGCTATTCTTACATGCAAAACATTTTGACAGCAAAGGAATTTAAAGAGTACTATTCCTAAATGAGTGGTCTAATTCTATATCAAATGGGATCTTTGAGTGGATGTTTTTATCTTCTAGGTCTCCGACATTTGCTGGAGGTCTCTTCTCAATCTCCAAGGCTTACTTTGAGCACATAGGATCATATGATGACCAAATGGAAATCTGGGGAGGAGAAAATGTAGAAATGTCTTTTAGGGTATGTATTTTCTACAGCATTTGTCTGGTGTTACACCTTGTCATCCCAGTCTAAATACAGCCCCATACGGTAAAAAGAGTTCTTAAAGTGCTAATCTGAACTATACTTCCCTCCAATCTCTCACTCACCGGCGCTGACATCTTTGCCCATCTTCTTCTGGGATCTTAGACTATCTTGATTAGCCATGCTGGGATGACATAGCTCCCTTGCATGGTGCGCAACAGTAAATTCATCCCAGCATTTAGCAGATGCCAGATTGTACACTGAGCTGCGGATGTGGCTTACCAGTCCTTAGATGAGGTGTCTGCATTCGTTTTTTCTTTCTTCTTCTTTTGTTTTTCCTTTTTCAGGCTTTTTCTTTTCTTTTTCTTTTCACCTGGTAATCCTGTGAAAAGGACACTTCCTATGTCTAGGTCCAACCAGCCTGGACTTTAAACATTTTATTTATTATTCTTATTATTTTTATTATTATTCAGGATTTATATAGGATACTACAGTTGCAATGCAATTCAATACAATAAAGATTTAAAAAGGCCCTGATCTTGAGAGCTTACAATCTAATAGGGATGGGCAAGTGATACAAAAAGTAGTAACTTTGTGGTATGAGTTGTTCTAGCAAGTAACCTTTAAGTTGCTGGGTAGAGGCAGGATATGCTTCCCTGAAGAGATGCGTGTTCAGGGATTGCCTAAAGGCATTCATGCTTTCGTTCGTCTTCATTTCACAGCGACTGATGGAGCCAGTAGTTTACACAGAAAAGACCAGTTTTAGTTTTGGATAGAGTAGGGGAAAGTCTAAACCCCTGCCATGTTTTTGTTTTTTTTCCCTGTCTTTTGTACCATTAGGGAAGTTTTACATTCACTTCTTGTCCCAAAAGCACAACAGAGTTAGATTAAATATCTCAATGTCAAGGGATTTCCCATTTTCGACAAACATCGTCCGATCAGCAATCCCTATTTGAAGATTTCCTGTTACTTTTTCTTATGATATTGTGTCCACATTGGGAAGAGTCGCCCCTCTATTTGTATTGTTAAAGGAGAACTATGAGATGAGTGCTTTTCCGCTGACTGGCGGATCGGACGGGGGCGGGTACAGCTCGCTCTTGCCTCCAGATAGGCAGAGCCAGCTATCAGTCACGCAGCTGGGCGGATCCCGGCACAATTGTCGGGATCCGCTTCAGCTGAGGCGTCTCAGTATACCGCGAGCAGCAGCTGGCGGTATACTGCGGCGTCTCAGTATACAGCGGGCTACAGCTCGCAGTATACTGTGAGGGTCTAACTTGAGAGGGTCTAACCCTTCTCCCACTCTATCCAAAACTAAAAATAATAAAGGTTTAGTCTAGGGATATAATTTAAGTTCCAAGAAAGTGACAAGGATACTGCGTTTGTTAAAATCAACAGGTATTTTCTGTACTCTCTAAAAAATTTCTTAGTCTGGTAAAGGAAAACTAATGTAGCCACCGCATCTAAGGACTGGTAAGCTGCAATTTAGGATACTATGAAATTGAGGCTTTGCACACTGTATTAAAGGGAATCTGTTACAAAGAAAACCCCAAAGTTGTTTAACAGCACTTACCTAATATTTAAAACACATTGCCTGCATATACAAATATGTATATACACTAAATAATACTGTAATCTGGTGAAATATCCTTGCAGGTGAATGTATCTGAGCCTAAGCTTCCAGTACTATGTACATAGAGATTAATAATGGCTCCTGCCAATATTTAAACACGTACATGCCTGTAGAAGAGTGACACATAGGGGGAATTTATCAAAATCTGGAGCAACTGTGCATGGAAACCAATCAGCATCCACTTTTCATTTTCAAATCTTAACTGAACAAACTGAAGAGAGAAGCTGATTGGTTGGTTGCTATGGGCAACTGCTTTAGATTTTGTCTGCTCCAGTTTTTATAAATGCCCCCCATTGTCTTATAGCATCCAACGTCTTATGTGTTGCAGGGAATACTCCTCCTTCTTTCTCAGGATTGGGTGGCTAGGTAGGCTATGGTAAAAAAAAAAATTTTTATATAAACATTACTTTTCCAAAAAGGTCTGGCAGTGTGGAGGTCAGTTGGAGATCCTACCTTGCTCTGTGGTGGGCCATGTGTTTCGTACAAAGAGTCCGCACTCCTTCCCCAAAGGAACTCAGGTGATCACTAGGAACCAGGTACGTCTAGCAGAGGTCTGGATGGATGACTATAAGGAGATTTACTACCGGAGAAACCAACAAGCTGCAAAAATGGTTAAAGAAGTAAGTACTGAGGGAAGATACTTGGATCTTATCACTATCCTAGTATACAAATTACATTTGTTTCAGTGTAAAATAACTATGCCATGTAAAAAAAAAAGTGTGTGTGTGTGTGATACACGCATCTCAATTTCCTGCATTCTATCATTCCATTATTTTTTTTTCTACCAAGTACCCAGATTCTTGTAACATTCAACTAGAGCTGCAAAAACGAATCGATTTAAATCGATTATAATCGATGATGAGAATAGTTGGCAACGATTCTCATCATCGATTAGTTGCTTTTAGATTAGTTGCAGCCACCGCTCTGCTCCTCAGCTCTCCTCCCCGCTGGTGCTGGCTGCAGCGGTCTGTGTCCTTTCCAATCCCTGCTGCTCTCCCCGCCTGTGTCGGCAGAGGCGGCGGGGACACAGACCCCTGCAGCCAGGGAGGAGAGGCCGCTGTGACTCAGCAATCCCCTGCTGCCCCCCCTAACTCATCAGCTGCTCCGTGTCCCCTCTTCCCCAGCCCGTTCTGCCTCTCCCCGGCGCTGTTCAGCCTCAGCCCTGCCCCTGTTCAGCTGCTTTAACCCCCGCCCCATTCAGGCTGAAAGCCATACCCAGCCTGCTATTGGATATTTTAAAATGCAATAGAACTTGTAGTATAGTATAACCCCAATGTGACTTCAGAAAAAGAAAATCTGCTTACCGCTTATGAATTCTCTATGGATAGTACAGTCTTACCTGTATGAACATTTTTAAAAAGAGATAGGGCCTGTCTTTTAATCACTGTTCTCCTTTGTATTGCTGTCAGTAGTGATGGTCAGTGGCGTAACAACCGGGGGTGCAGCAGGGGCGCGGGCCCCGGGCGAGCAGGAACAGAGAAGAAGTTACTCTTGAGGTTCTGGTTAAAGCGATATCGACAGCCCTGCTAGTATTAGAAGCTGAGACAAAATTGTTAATGAATATCTAAGTATTGAATTGATATCTAAGTAGCTATGCCATAATGATAAAAATGGCTTTGCATGGTCCAGAGTAGTTCTTTAAGGCCTCATGC